ACCGGACTTGAGTCCTGGAAAGGGGAAGTACAATGCCTGCCTCTAAAGGAGGGGTTTGAGATATGGCAGTTTGGAGGATATGTTGTGTATTTTTATACTATATAGTACTTCTAAACTGTTGTATTCGGGGCACCTCTGCAAAAACAGTGATTATGTGTGAGTGAGGTGAATGATGATGAAAATATTTTTTGGGGGGGGATTTTCTTTCATTTTGAGTCACCCTGCCTCGTGGGAGACGGCCGACTTATATATACATATATAAATAATATATATATATAAATAATATATATATATATATATATATATATATATAAATAAAATATATATATATATATAATATATAAAATATATATATATATATAATATAAAATGGGAATTGACACAGTTACTTTTTGCTGATGATACTGTGCTTATGGGAGATTCAAAGAAAAATTGCAAAGGTTAGTGGATGAGTTTGGGAATGTGTGTAAAGGTAGAAAGTTGAAAGTGAACATAGAAAAGAGAAAGGGTGATAAGGGTGCAAATGATTTGATAAAGAAAAATTGGATATCAAATTGGGGAGGAGGAGTATGGAAGAAGTGAAGTTTTCAGATACTTGGGAGTTGACGTGTGGGCGGATGGATTTATGAAGGATGAGGTTAATCATAAAAATTGATGGGGGAAAAAAGGTGAGTGGTGCGTTGAGGTAAAATGTGGAGTCAAAAAACTTATCTATGGAGGCAAAGAAGGGAATGTAATAAAAGTATAGTAGTACCACACTCTTATATGGGTGTGAACTTGGGTGGTAAATGCAGCAGCAGGAGACTTTTGGAGGCAGTGGAGATGTCCTGTTTAAGGGCAATGTGTGTGTAAATTATGCAGAAAATTGGGAAAGTGTGAAATTAGGAGAAGTTGTGGAGTTAATAAAAGTATTAGTCAGAGGCAAAGAGGGGTTTTGAGGGGGTTTGGTCATTTAGAGAGAAGGGGATCAAAGTAGAATGACATGGAAAGCATATAAATCTATAGGGGAAGGAAGGCGGGGTAAAGGGGTCGTCCTCGAAAGGGTTGGAGAGAGGGGTAAAGGAGGTTTTGTGGGCAAGGGCTTGGAACTTCCAGCAAGCGTGCGTGAGCGTGTTAGATAGGAGTGAATGGAGACGAATGGTACTTGGGAAACCCACGATCTGTTGGAGTGTGAGCGGGGAATATTTAGTGAAGGGATTCAGGGGAAAACCGGGTTTTTTTCATATGTCGGACTTGAGTCCTGGAAATGGGAAGTACAATGCCTGCACTTTAAAGGAGGGGGTTTTTAGATATTGGCAGTTTGGAGGGGTATGTTTGTGTATCTTTATATGTGTATGCTTCTGGACTGTTTGTATTCTGAGCACCTCGCAAAAACATGATAATGTGCGAGTGTGGTGAAAGGTTGAATGATGATGAAAGTATTTTCTTTTGGGAATTTCTTTCTTTTTTGGGTCACCCTGCCTCGGTGGGAGACGGCCGACTTGTTGAAAAAAAAATATATATATATATATATATACAGTGGACCCCCCGGTTAACGATATTTTTTTTACTCCATAAGTATGTTCAGGTGCCAGTTACTGACCGAATTTATTCCCATAAGAATATTGTGAAGTAGATTATTCCTTTCAGACCCCCAAACATACACGTACAAACGCACTTACATAAATACACTTACATAATTGGTCGCATTCCGGAGGTAATCGTTATGCGGGGGTCCACTGTATATATATATATATATATATATAATATATATGCAATAAGATCACAGTAAACAGGTGATTTTAAATTATGCAAAAACAACCACTGTGAAAGAGTAGTGAAATTCCAAGCGCTTTTGTGACTACTCACATTGGAATTTCACTACTCTTTCACAGTGGTTGTTTTGCGCATATTATATATATATATATATATATATATATATATATATATATATATAATATATATATATATAATATATATATATATATATATATATATAAGATAAGATAAGATAAGATTTGTTCGGATTTTTAACCCCGGAGGGTTAGCCACCCAGGATAACCCAAGAAAGTCAGTGCGTCATCGAGGACTGTCTAACTTATTTCCATTGGGGTCCTTAATCTTGTCCCCCAGGATGCGACCCACACCAGTCGACTAACACCCAGGTACCTATTTGCTGCTAGGTGAACAGGACAACAGGTGTAAGGAAACGTGTCGAAATGTTTCCACCCGCCGGGAATCGAACCCAGGCCCTCCGTGTGTGAAGCGGAAGCTTTAGCTTCGTGCCGAATATGTAAAACTGGTCAATTAGCAAGAACTCACTTCAAATTAAGTCCTTTCTAAAATTTTCTCTTATACGTTTAAAGATATATTTTTTCATTAATGTTGATGTAAAAATTTATAATTTTGCACCAAAAGGAACTTAGAAAACTTACCTAACCTTATTATAACAATCGCAATTTATTTTAGCCTAACCCAACTAAATATATTTTAGATTTTTTTACAATAATTAAATACTAAACAAACACAGTGAAATATATTTTTTCCGTTAGGTTCAGAATGATTTTGGCGAAAAATTATTGCATACACAAATTTTCACTTTTCCTATATGGCAAGATGAGCGTTGCTATTTAAGCCAAGATCGCAAGTTCTGCCTATTCGGCACACATATATATATGTATATATATATATATATATATATATATATATATATATATATATATATATATATAATATATATATATATATATATATATATATATATATATATATATATACTACCTAGGTAATAGGTTGGTAAACAGCAAGCGCCCAGGGAGGTACTACCGTCCTGCCAAGTGAGTGTACAACGAAAACCTGTAATTGTTTTACATGATGGTAGGATTGCTGGTGTCTTTTGTCTGTCTCATAAACATGCAAGATTTCAGGTATGTCTTGCTACTTCTACTTGCACTTAGGTCACACTAAACATACATGTACAAGCATATATATACACACCCCTCTGGGTATTCTTCTATTTTCTTTCTAGTTCTTGTTCTTGTTTATTTCCTCTTATCTCCATGGGGAAGTGGAACAGAATTCTTCCTCCGTAAGCCATGCGTGTTGTAAAAGGCGACAAAAATGCCAGGAGCAAGGGGCTAGTAACCCCTTCTCCCGTATAAATTACTGAATTTAAAAGAGAAACTTTCGTTTTTCATTTTGGGCCACCCTGTCTTGGTGGGATATGGCCGGTGTGTTGAAAGAAAAAGAAATATATATATATATATATATATATATATATATATATATATATAATGAATATGCATTTTTACTTTATTATATTATAATGATCAAAATAAACAAATTACCAAATTCTAGAACTTAACGAAAGCAAAAGACTCGGCAGGTGGTGCAATAGTAACAGGCTGGTTGATCAGGCCCTGATCCACCGCGAGGCCTGGTCATGGACTGGGGCCCGGGGGCGTTGACCCTCGGCATATCCTCCAGGTATAGCGTTCCTCATTGTGGTTACCATCTCAGGAATATTGATAATTACCTGCACAATCGTCAATGGCTGTTGATTGTGCTGTATGACCCTTGTAGGTTTAGAGCTTCTTTTTGCTTATAATAATAATATTGACGATTGTGCAGTCAATAGTTATTGTGACCTTCATTTCCCGCTGTTTTAGTATACGTAAGGTAATTTTATATAATTCTTTTTAGATAAGCCCCAAAAAGGACAAATTAACGTCCTGCATGAGGTGGCGCAGGACAGACGACAGTGCTCAAAAGCAGGATTGTCCTGCCTAAAGCCAGACGTCTGGCCAGCCTATTCTGGTCTCCAGGCAGCAGCATCAAGCATACGAGGAAGCTCGTCAAGCAAGACAGCTCTGGCCTGAAGGCAGCAACATCAACCAAGTTTCTCGATCACATGAGTAATCCTCATTATTTTACTTAATGGCCCGTGGAACTTCTCAAGGTTTCTTTGTGATTCATCAAATATCTTAGAACTTTCAGATGTTATTTGTAGCTTTGTATCGTTTTAATATATGTTCAGTTAGAGAATAAATATAACGCATATCAGTAAAAAATGATGTTAATTAGATAAAATCAACGAGGGTGTATTGAAACAAGAAAACTTCGCGGATCAGTGAATCGAGTTATTATTCCTTGAGAGATGAACTAGGGTTGCTTGAAGGAAGCATTGAAACTGGCGTCAGGCATTTACTTAACACCAGGTACCATAAACAAACCAGATACGTGACGATTGTCCCGTAGTTAAGAATTCTTTTATCTACGGTACCTTGATGTTGGCCGGGGACTCTACCTTAGAAACAGGGCTTCTCTCTCTTCCTTGACTCAAAAATGAATATTTCCTATTTCTCGGGCGCTGTATGACCTCTGAATTTGGGGCTTCCCTCAGATAAAAATAAAAACAAATATTCACCGCAAATAATATTTTCTTAGGATGAACAAATGATAACTTGAGACAGTTAAGCAGTGTTGCTTATTTTTGTTGGATTCTTTTAAAGTCCTGTTTTTCCAGGATGTAGATCGCAACAGCCGCCTAGTTCCTAATTACTCCTAAGTGAACAAGGTCATCAAGTGTAAGTAAAATCGCCCATATGTTTCGCCTTGCCTGGAAAATGAACGCAGGTCTTATCAACTGCGAGCCAGACTTTCTACCACTGAGCTACGAGTCACCCACTAAGGCCACATAAGTGTGATTTTCTACCATTTAAGTGATGATGTATTCCCCGCTGCCACACCAGGAACAGGAAACCTGTGACTAGTCTTCTCATCTGTGACTCTTCAAGGCCTTCTTATTTTCGTTGTGGTGGCACAGACTACTACTGTCTGTAAGAAAAAATATAAAGCAATTAAAATGTTTTGTATTCATAAGCTACCTTAGTGCTAACATTATCCAACGAAATATGTGATTTTGGTCTCAGCAACTACATGAGATGTCACCTAGTGTTTATGAAGCGATTATTATTATTATTATCAAGGGGGAAGCGCTAAACCCGGAGGATTATACAGCG